TAGTGAATGTGAGCTATGCTCTGATTTTAAATCGTAATTTTGTCAGCTCCTGAAATGGGTCATACCTTCGATATTACAAGAGCACACAGCAGTATAAGTAAATAGAAAACTCGGTTGATAGAATTATTGCATGGATGGAGCAAGAACAATGTAAGTGTCTAAAATATATGCACACAGTCCAGTTGAATGGTAAAAATCTCTTTAACCGTACAGTTAAACTTAATGTACGAAGCTAAAATAACCTCAACATTAACAACATTGAAATAAGAGCGCATGCATTTTTACGTGCATCTGGCTGATATATCAACCATGATTTATCTGTCAATCAGATGCATTTTAAAATCACTTTTTCTGTGTGTGTGCTTTGGATGTGTGTGCACATGGGCGAAGAAACGAGATAGTCTATGGATGACCGGACGATTTATTCATATCCAAAACGAGACGATGTGAACATGCAGTTTTGAGTTTCTACTCAGCCGTCCAAAACATATAAATGATGACCTGCAGGAAATCCCTAATATTGACAAAGGCATCCACAGCTATGGCTGTAGCTTAAAAAAAAGGTCATATCAAGTCATTTCCAGGTAATAAATATAGTATATGTATAACGCAGTGCTAATTGACATAAGGCAGAATAGTTTCTATATTGTAATAAATGTTATGTGTTTGTATAAACCAATCCTAAAATTGTCATTAGGAAAACACAGAAAAAATATTATAGAATACAAATGATTGGTTATCATCCAGCAGTGTATTTAATTTCTTAGCCAATTAAAAGACATAAGAAAAAAATAAAGCACGAGTCTTCTTGAGCTTGAATGGTTTAAAGTCATATTAAAATGCACACAAAGGAATCAATTTAAATTTATAACAAGTAGACGATTCCTGACCTTAAGCATCCTATTCTAGAATTGTAATAGATTTTGGCATCCCAAGCCTAAGTATGGGTTAACATGTTAAATAAAAAACGCTCTTTTTTTTGTCCTACTGAAAATGTGCCTGGAGTCCACCTTTGTTATTATTACAAACTATACTTTCAATGTGATTTTAAACCATTCAAGTCAAGAAGACTCACAGGCTGTTTTCTCTGCTGCACACACATCCTTGTGTAAGTGTTCTTTAGCCTGTTGACTTTCATTCATAGTATTCAGCTAACTATGAAATATTTTGCAATGAGATATCTAAGATTTTTTTTTACCATATTGGAATCGAAATTAGGAATTGACAAGAATTGGAATTATTAAAATTCAAACGATGCCCAACCTTACCCATACCCCACATTATTTTTTTTTACTGGCACCTTTCTATTCACACTATTCGAGACCCTTTCTTTTCTTTTAAACCTTCACCTACCCTTCTTTGCTTTTGCCCTTCTTAAAAACAACCACATAATCTTATACGTGAATGTACTTTTCAAAATTAGTTATTAAACAGTTGCTCCTGGCAACAGGGATATGTAGTATGTTTTCTTAACATAGCGTCAAACATGACAATTTATGAGACTAATATCATGTTTTGCTCCAAAATCACTATATAACATCAGTCGTGTTTGAAACAGTTAGCTTCTGTGGTTCAATGTTGCTTCTTATCACAGTGAGACAGAAAATATATTTTTTATAGAATTCTAAACTGTGATACAAGCTATGTCAATTAGCATTGCTTTGTAATTGTGTGTTTATTGTCTTCCACGTTTCATCAGTCAAAGCGTCTCTATCTGCATGTTATTCAGTTGTAGTGATATCTGATGCATTTGTCCATATAAGGGATTTCCTGGGCCTCACTTGTGAAACAGATATTACAGTACATGGGTGTTAGGATTAGGGTTAATCCTGCTCCATAATGCTCACATAGTCTCATTTTGGGTAAAAAAGAAAAAGAAAAAAAAGAAGAATAATACTAAAGTAACTTGAGTAGTTTTTCAGAAAACTACTTTTTTACTCTTACTTGAGTCATATTATTTTTCAGTACTTTTACTTGTACTCAAGTAAATTATTCCTTAAGTAGCAATACTTTTACTTAAGTACACTTTCTTAGTACTCTTTCCACCACTACAGATCTGTTGTACATTCAGAGGAAAGCATTTGGCTTGAGTTGCAGAAGGCATGGGATAACATTAGTGTTCCGAGGAACACTGAAAAAAATGATTCATTGAATTTACTAATTTTTAAGGTAAGTGGTTGCAATCAATAATAATAATAGTAATATATATATATATATATATATATATTTCCGTACCCACTGTATAGTATACACACACACATTACTATTAGCCCTAAAAGGAGCATGAACTTAAGACAAAGAATTGGTATGAACCCCTTGCACAAACGAAGGAAATTCTTTTGAGTATGACACACTAAGCTTTGTGTGCATGCACTCTCTAATATGTGGTCTCTAGTCACAAAGAGAGAAACGGGGGCCAGTCTCTGTTCTGGCCTTTCCCAACAAAACTACTAAAAGCTTATAAATTTGATATAACGTATTGCAATATAGTAATGGACTACAAAAAAAATATGATTCCCAGTGCACACAGACTTACCAGATTACTGAGCGCACTGTTTGCATTTAATTCAGTTATATGCATACTAGACATGTGTCGGTATTCGGTAATGCGATATATCACGGTAATGAATATGCACAATATTGTTATCGTGAGCACTTCTAAATATCGTGAATAATTATATATTACAAATTATTCAGAATTTTGAATACATTTTAAGAATACTTTTCCCGTCAACTGGTCAAAATGCACAACACCGCTGTATGCTGCGTGAAAGATGCGTGCGCACTCTGATGTAAACAAGCACTCTGATGTAAACAAGCACGGATGAGAAGCGCATGGCGGAACATGTGAGAGACACTCTGGATGAAAGCGCACTTTCACTCGCTGACAGCTGATGGCGCTAAACTGCAGAAATGCAGCCGTTACCCCGGAAACCTTGTAAACAAAGCAGCTGCACTACTTTCTGTTTCTGAATCCTGTTTAAATTATTTAAACAGCCATTCAGATTTGTGTATTTGCTATGATGGTCATCACAGCGCCAAATACTTAAATATTTAGACTTAATAGGCTATTTATTTTCGAACTTTTTTTTACATTTTAATCTAGACTACAATATGCCCTAGATAGTTTTATTATTGTAAAAGTGTTTTGATTCTTTATTGTTCGGTCACATTTTACATTAGGGTGTCATTAGTTAATTAATTAGTTAACAAACTGCCAATGAAAAATTCTTCTGAACATTCATTAATCTTAATATTTAATAACACGTTAAAATCGAAAGTTGCAACTGTGTTATTTAATGAGCTAACATGAACTAAGACTTGTATATTTTTTTTTTAACAAAGATTAATAACTTCTGTAGCAAATGTAGCTATTGCTCATTGTGAATGTTAATGCATTAACTAAGGTTAACTAATGAGGTCTTTTTTTTTTTTAAAACTAAATTTCAATATCGTGATAATACCGTATACCATGATAAAAGCATTAGCAATTAATCGTAATAGGAAAATTTGATACCGGCATATCCCTAATGCATACTCAATTTATTAAATGTCTTTATTTGTGAAAAATACTACAGTAGGATTACAGACTCAGTTTTTTTGTGTGGATAATTTCAAATAATTTCTACTTTAGTAAATATGTACAATAAATATACATTTCATTTCAGCTCTAAGATATCACAATTGGCCATAAAAAACAACAACTTTATCAAAACACTTTGCAACAACCACTTAAAACAAACTACAAATTCAAACACCAGATCACCTCTCATTATAACACTAATGCAATTATGCAATAATTCCGTGCTACTTTACTTTCACAACTATTGTAGTCATTAATTATTTGAATTTGTTTTTATATTTTCTGTTTTATTTTTAAAAATCCTGCTCATGCCCAATTTGTTCCCAATTTAAATAATCATACTCTGCATCCAGATCAATTGTGAGGTCATTTATATAGGTTTATATTTTATTCCAAGAAACAAAAACATTTTTATGGTTGTACTTTTAGTTTACTATAATAACCCTGACCCGAGTGAGAATTTCACTCAGAGCAAAAGTTCCAGAGGAGAAGCCAATCCTGCTTTTGCCCAAACTTTACACAATTTAAATTATCATACTCTGCATCCAGTAAAATGTGAATTTACTCAGTTACACAGTTTGTGGAAATGAAATCATATAGAGACGACCTCTAGAAGTGAAAGCCATCTCTCTGTGTTCCAGGAGGGAGTTTTTTCAGGCTGAGGGAAAGCAAAAAGAGAACTCGGCAGGTGCGAATCTAAGTGGTGAAGAAAACACACAGGAAGCCAGGAAAGCAACAAAGAGAGTAGCATATAACATCTGTATCTGAAATCATTACTATGCTCCATTACTAGGCCATGCTATGTTGCTCCACAGAAGCATCAAGCTGAAAGCTTTGGCAGGAAACATAAAACACAGCTTTAAAAGGCTTGTTAAAATGTAAAAGAGGCCCTTTCCTACTATAAGGGTGGAAAAAAAGTTGCTTGTCCTATCCAATCAAAGTCTACAGTATTTCAGCACAAATTTACCTGCTTCTTGGCTAATCAAATTAAGACAGATCTCAACAAGGACAGGTTGCATTACACACATATACCATCAAAAGCAATGAACAAATCGACACAAGGTAAAAGAAAACAGACCAAATTACACGAGTTTACTTTCATGTTAATTTGGATAAACAGTCTGTGACAACCACAATGCATCTTTAAGTCATCTCAATATTTGCTTTTTGTTTATATTTATACAATAAATTTGGGTTGGTACAAATTCAAGAGCATTAATGAATCTTTGTCAAAAAATAAATAAATAAATGCCAGTACTACTTGTGTGATATGGAGTTCACTTATTTATTTTTTGTAATTTCTCAAATATATATTAAATCATAAATTAGCTCACACAAATTCCTTAATTTTTTGCCCAACGGAAATGTTTAGTACTATCTAAAAGACATTAAAATACTAAAACTGTAGCTACTTTACCTTCATGAACTTGTCCTTTTTCATGTGTCTTGGTTTGCTACTCATTTCAGGACTTCTCTCAATGCTCCCATCAGTTGCCCTTTCATTTTCTTTGCCTACAACTGATATAATGCAAACAAAGAAAGAAAGTTGAGCTGAGAGGAGAGCAGCACACAGCAGGTGCACAGTGACACAGCTGAGCAGCAGATAAGAGTGTTTCTTAAAAAGTTTATTCAACCATGCAACATTTTAAAAGCATACTTTATTGTGAAGTGTTTCTCAACTATCACAAAGGAAATTCCTTGCTTTCAAGTATACAAATGTAAAGAATTTAATCTTATCACAGTGTAGCAGTGACCTAGATGTCATTGCATAGCCACAATTTGACAACAGACAATTTGAAACAGTGTGCAAATGTTCACCTAAAATAAAGCTTTTACATTTTCATACTTTCTATATATGTACTGCCAAGGCCTTGCCTTGTGAATCTGTAAACTCAGCTGTGTTTAGAGATAAGCAAGATCCCATTTAATACTAATAAAAAAATAAAATAAAATAAAACAATTTACATACTTTTTAAACCCATCTGTCTCTTTTCAATGGCATGTTTGGGGTCAGGGGCACTTTCAAGATAGTTCTGTATTTGTGGATTCACATTAACCGCTGAGGATGACACTGGAGAAGTAGCCGTTGAAGTCTTCTTTTCATTAGCAGGACTGAGCTCAATTGAGCTTTTATACTTCTTCACTTCAGAAAGAACAGCAGAGCTTAACCTAGTTTGTGTCTTCTGTTTCTTTGCCGATGCCTCAAGTTTTATTTCTTCAAACCTGGGCAACTCACATGTCGCCACAGACAAACATTCAGGCCTTGATTCATGTGTCTCAGGAGCAGGGCCTGATGAGCCAACCAACAAGTCTTTAATGTCAATATTTTCATGTTTTCGCTTTTTACCAAGTGATCTCTTGCCCTTCCTCTTGTTTGAGTCCTCCAGGTCAAAAGCGGGCATGTGCAATCTTTCTGAGGTCGACCCAAATAAAATGACCTTTTGTTTAAGGGCATTGTTGGCTGGTAAGAAGTAGTCTTCAAACACCTCACCATCCACAACATCTCTATTAGGAACATCAGCAACCGAGTCAGCAGAACACAAAACAGCAGAAGTTTGATGTTGAAATTTATGAACGGGCTTGGGAGTTACCGATCCGTCACTTTCAATTTCTGTAAAACAACTGCCTGATGAAGTATGCTTCTTGAAATATAAACGTTTGGAGTTGGTTTGCAGATCATTGGATTGCTGTATACTTTTGCTGTTTTTGTGATTGGTTTTTGTCAGGCTTTCAGGCAAGGAACTTTCAGGTCTTTCAGGGCTGCCAGATAACTCTGTAGATATACCACTGTTTTCAGTTTGTGGTTTGAGGTGTGAGCTTTGTTTTCTTTCAGAACAGGTATTATCAATGTAACTCTCTAAAGTGGACTGTTTCTTTTCTCCAACGTTGTTCACTAAAGACCTTCTTGATCGGGAAAATATAGGTGAGACTTTACTATGTGTTTCAACACCGGCCAGATTACACATAACCATGGCTGTGTCTGATTCAGGTGGTGTTTTTTTTTTTTCTTTACTTGTCATTTTCATTGTTAACTTTTTATTACAGTTTTGTTTTTCTTGTTCATCTCTTTTCTTGGAGGAATGATAGTGAGAGGTTGAGAAGCAATCCAAAGGCTCTTCCTCTGTAAAAGTAAAAGTTCAACATATTTACTTTAATATAATGCAAAATGGTTACTAAAGCTACTAGGGATGCACTGAAATGAAAATTCTTGGCCGAAGCTGAACAAAATGAAACACTTGGCCGAAGGCCGAATACGTTTTTTTCCCCCATGTATTTTGACAAAAAAAATGTTCACCATTGCATAAATTAAAAATCCAAAATGTACTTTTTTGTAAAACTTTGAAAACTTTGAGTAGCAAATCAGCATATTAGAATGATTTCTGAAGGATCATGTGACACTGAAGACTGGAGTAATGATGCTGAAAATTGAGCTTTGATCACAGCAATCAATTACACTTTACTATATGTTCACATACAAAACAGTTATTTAAAATTTTAATATTTCACAATATTACTGTTTTTATATTTTTTATTGTACAAATAAATGCAGCCTTGCTGAGCTGGAGAATTCTTTTAAAACATTAGAAAATATTACAGATCCCAATTTGAACACAAACTGTTGTAATTATTATTATCTTTAATACTGTCTTCATTTTATTTTACAGAACAACAGTAAAATTGCAGTACTAAAATTTATGAACGTTGATGGAGCTTTTATTTTGTCGGACCACAGTGCTTCTTGTTGACAACACAGCAGAGATATAGTTATAATGATTCTCATTACGAATTTGGGAAGATGTTTGTCGCACATATCACATTGTCACACCCATACCTTGAAAAATTCATAAAAATGTTACCGAGCAACGGACGAGTAACGCTGCTTCAGCGCAGATTTTCCTCGCACTTTGGACTTTGATCCCTGGCTAACAAGCAGAATGAAAACATAACATTATGCAGTTAATTTACTAATTGTTTAAGGCCATTTCGCAAAGACATGCGATGCAGTACTAAACAGTCTCTTGCTGTCAGTGCTTGTAATGATTTTTGCGTCTTTCTCTGCTAATTTTAAATGCTTCCACTTACACACTGCCGACATGTTTGCTGTGCGCATCTCACTCTACGCTGGTTGCCATTTGATTGAGTCACCAAAAATGTCATTGTTTGGTACAATTTATTCAGTCTTTTTGCTTGTTTGGCCGAACACCAAAAGAGATTTTTTTTTGCTATTATCGGTTGCTGACTATTCAGTGCATCCCTAAAAGCTACAATTATTCTACTACCAAAAAATTATTTTGTTTCCCCAAACCTAGTTGTTGCAAGAAAGACAGAGTTGGTGATTCCCCAAGAGGTGGTCTCAAAGGTGAATTACATTCTGAGGCACTATCCAGCATCTGTGAGACTAAGGGACAATACAAAATGAAATAAATACCTGAAAGACCTTTATTTCTACAGTGTGTAGATTCTGTAGGGCAGTGGTCTCAAACTCAATTCCTGGAGGGCCACAACTCTGCAGAGTTTAGCTCCAACCAGCTCCAAATCACACCTGCTTGGAAGATTCTAGTGATCCTGAAGACCTTGAATAGCTGGATCAGGTGTGTTTGATTAGGGTTGGAGTTAAACTGTGCAGAGCTGTGGCCCTCCAGGAATTGAGTTTGAGACCAATGCTGTAGAGTGTAATATAATTCATTTATTTTTCTCAATGCATTTACTAAAGGGGTCATGAACTGCCTGTTTTTATTTTGCACTTTTTTGTGAGGTCCACTTATAATGTTATCAAGATTTTTAAATAAAAAAAACATCATAATTTAGAAGTAATAGACTGTTTTCTGTCCTGTTTTTGACCCTCCTCATCTGAATGCTGTTTGAATGGGTGTGGCGGATTGTAGCCTCAGAAGTAAATGCCCACTGATATGATTGGCTAAGATTTGTGTATGTTTGACAGTCTACGCCCTTCACAGATGGGACACTGCTGTGATTTAACTTAATACCGCATAAACACTCATATCAAAACGATCTGTTTAACAGACAAAGCAATAGTAATCACGTAATAAAAACAGTTACTCACACTTGCATGTTGTGACATTACTGTCAGATCCAATATAGTCGACACAGCATCGTCTTTTAGTTTCAATCTTTCTGGAAATCCTGCATCGAACTGTGCCTTGTTTGTAAATGAATACGTGGTAAAATGAAGTAAACAGTGGACCAAGTTCTTACTGACGTGGTCTGGAACTTCATTAAAAATAAATTCATCCACTCGGTCCTAATATTGGGATCAGAAGGAAGGCAATGCAAAGACAATTTTTTCCACAACTTGGCACTGCACAGCGTCTTGTTATATTCGGAGCCATCTTTATCGTTTGGTTTCTGCGTAGACCTATGTATTCGCCTCTCTCGTCAACACTACATGCGTGAATCAGTGGGCGGGGCTAAACAGGCAGCGATATAGAAGCAGGCGTTGATCTTCTTCTGCGGAGGCGGTGTTTACCGACACCATTACATCATAGAGTGGTACATTCCACAAGCTGTTATTTTGGCAGACTTGCTTCGATATAAGCTGTTCTAGACTAACGAGAAAGTTTTGAGTTCTGAAACTTACAGGATGCTTTATAGTACAATGACCTCTTATATGTGAAAAGATCAAGGGGATTTTGGTTTCTCAGTTCATGACACCTTTAAAAATAAAAAAAATTATAATTTGGGTTATATGTGTGCAAACTATTCACAACAGAGGGTTGCAATATTCTTCGGTATGGTGTGGGGTACGTTCCTGCACCCAAGAAAGAATAGGGGAAGTTTTAAAGAATCAAATCCACCTTATTTTAAGCTATTTTCTTTTTACGGATTCATTAGCCGCTATAGGTAAATAACTAAAAGGATAAAGTACAAATCTGCACTGATTGTAATAGATTAAAATAATATGATAAACACCAGTACAAATACCAGTTTGAAATATCAAGCAGCATAAAAAATCTTTTTGTACAGGTAAATTAACCTAAAACAAATGACAACGGAAACCTTGCAAGTTACAAATGGTTGTGCTCTTTCTAACTTAAAATTTTTAAATAAGGTGGATAAATGTTTTTCATTATTATCAAATCAAAAAGAAACTATTTGAAATAGTGAATTAAGCAGATCCACTATGAACCAAAAGAATTTGCAACCCTATAATTCAGTACAAAGCTTTGTGGTCTGGTAGAACACAAAATTATTAGTTTACAAATTAAAACTAGTTCTCAAAAGGATTTGAGGAAATACCAGTGGGTGAGAGATGTTCACGTTGAGCTCTCATTTCTCTCAGTCGCTGAGCCATGCTGTCAGAGCGTTTTAAAGAGGGACTGTACACTACTCCATTTTCCTCATCAATAACGAATGGTGATGTGTCGGAAACTGTATTAAAACAAAGTCCCAAATGCACAACAACCTTCACAAATTGTTGAATGAAATAAAAAAAATAAAAAACACAAAAAAAACCCAACAACAACAAAAATGTGTGCTTTCCTCACCAATGGGGGATGAGGAGATCAAGCCTTCCATCATCTTGTCTAATTTTTTCTTCAGCCGCCTGTCATTCTCAGGGGTCTTTATAGGAATATCTCTAGGTTGCATGCAACGGTGCTGCAAAAACAATGACAAACAAAAAAAAGCAAGTATGAGGTTATTTATTAATATTTACCAAGATATGTATAATATTCTTACAGAAAGCATTCAATTTCAAAAATAGTAAAACAAGTCAAAACGTTTGTTGTTTTAGATATTATGTTTAATTTCCTTACCGTTCTTTTATTTAGATGAAGTTTGGACTCTTCATTTTGAGCAGGAAAAAGATTTTCATCCACATGTTCATTACTCTCTTTGCATCTGCAAAATCACAATGAATAGAATTTGAAAGGAACGCGAAAGGAAACCTTGAGGTCTAGAGACATCTACAGGCCATCCAAAGAAATGCAACAATCAAAATGAGGAAAAGATCACTAATGGAGTCAGAGAACTAAAACAGCACAAGAACATGCTGTCACTGGCATCAACAGATTTCTGCTCTCTAAAGGAATTTCAATCAACTAGATATTAGCAAATCATTGTATGCAAAATGATTGACAAGGAGAGAGTGTTTTTAAATGAGCTAAAACACAGGATGATTTGCTTTCCTGACTCTTTTTTTTTTTTTTTACAAGGACTAATGCTGTCAGAGACAGATGTGATTTATCTAGGCTCCTATTTCAAATGATATCTGTCAAGTAGTAGGGACCTTTTTTGTATGTAATGTAAAGATATTTACAGCACTTTTAAATGTGACAGAAAAAGGGGCCTTTCTATGGTGCATTACTTCTCTAGTTTGTCATTTTTCAAACGTGTATGAATTTTCATTTTTGGGCGAACTATCCATTACATCATGTTTACAAGAAAATCATTAGCAGATATTTAAAAGTTGTATCATTTTGTCCCTTCACTGGAATAATGAAATGTGTTCATTTGTTCAAGAAGACTAATTTCTGCCAGGCTCTACTTTTTAACCAATTATTCATGCCTAACCTTTGGAAATTAAATTAGCAACTTTGTCTAGAACAAAACCTTTATTCATGTTTGCAGATTTACATAACTCCTGGTTCTTAGGATGTTGACCTGAACATGCAGAAGACTAGTTCTATGTGATACTCATTTTTACCTTGCTACCCAGTGGACAGAAACAATCCTCACACCCATTTTCTGGGCTTTCTTCCATGTGGACGGGCGGCCATGTTTGAAGACTACGTGGGTCACTTGTTTGTTGAGTGTCTTAGATACCTGTCATTTAAAATGCATTCATTTATTTTACATTTTAATTTTGTTCATAAACACAAGTGCCAAAATTAACAAATGTCACCTCTGCACCCATGTCCTGCAGCTGCTGAATGAATGGATCAGAGTAATCCTCCATTCTGCTCGCAGACCACACATCAACATACGCCACCACATCTTACAAGGGAGAAAGAGGACAGTGGATAAACATTCACTTCACACAAAAAGTTTGATTCATAATAACATTAAATGTTTGGCACCACTGGCATAAAATATGCAAGTTAGAAGAAGGTAGTAAAATCCAACAAACTAAATGAAGGTCATTTCTGACTAAAGAAAATGTTTTATTTAATTTCTCAAATTACTTGGTAATGACACCCAATAAAGCTAATAAGCTGTTATTGCTATATTGTTTTAAAACAAGACTGGAAATATACATTTTTTAAAACATTTGTGAATTATCATCGTAATATCTCCTAATTTAATGAATATCCATCGATACCTTTGAGAAAACCAGTGGAAGTGTTTTTTCCTGTCATGATTGATCCCAAAGGTCTCCTTCTAAAACGGCATCAACCAACGGAAAATGGAACATGATAAACTCAACATGATTCAAGCAAAACAGAAAACAAGCATGGTAACATACATTCAGTAAAGATTTTACCTTAGCTATATAACGTTACACAATCTGCTAACGGAGAACAAATCAAGATTTAAAGTACATTGACTCGTGAAAAACGAACACTAATAAAAAAAAAATCAAAGCCAATTCTAAAAAAGCAAGTAAGTTACTACAACAACAAAAAAGCATTGGCAACTGCTGATCTTCAAGTCAAATCTGGTGAAACGCAGGGTATAAGTTACTTGAGACGGTGTCCTAGCAGTCATCTAAAGTGTTCTGTCAGAAAGCACCCTTCATTGCTCACCTTAACCAAAGAAGAACACATCAATATTGCGAAAAAAATCTATCCTTGTTTCTTTTTTTATATATATATGTACATCGTGCAGTTGATACACACTGTTTTCATTTGACCATTCACAACTGTAAAAAACGTGTTTTCGCGGTAATGGCTCCTATTGCGACGCATGATGGGAATTCAGTGACGTTCCTTACATCAGTTGGTTGATACCTTTTGGCCGCGCCCCCTTTTTTGTCTTTTGCTCCACAGGGACCGCCTCATGTGACGAGAGTAGGCGGCTGCAGTGAGGGTTTGAGCAGTGTTGCCAAGTCCGCGGTTTTTCCCGCGGAATTGGGCTACTTTAACACTGTTGCCGCGGGTTGTTTTCATGTCCATGGGTTGAAGCGACACCAATAACGCGATATTTAGCCCCTGAGATGTAAAACCCGGGAGCCCCGCCAAAAAAACGTGTATTTTACCAGCCGGAACGCGATTTTTAACGGGGACCCCCCTCGAAACGCGATTGGGCTAGTTTTGAGTAGCAATTGGGCGGATTTTGTTGTGAAAACCTGGCAACCCTGGGTTCGAGTGACATAGGGTGACAGTTCTCAGTGCTTGTAGCGGATCAGACAGATCAAAGGCGGGTTTCGCGTGAATCGTGATGTGTCTTGACTTGACGTGCTCATATTTTCGCTAATAAACTGGATGTAATTGAAGTTATGTTGCTTTTATATGAATCCATTATATTGCATCCATTTTCAGTTTGTATTTTAGACATTCAGACATGTATGTTTTATTTGTTTTTAGACTGAAAACAAATTGCATATCCCCATGGATCGCATTGTCAGAGTACTTGGGAATATTCACCAATAATTTATATAAATAAATTACAAAATCAAAACATTTTAGAAGAAAACTAAACATTACGAATTTTAAACCAAGGAGCGTTAAGCAGCTGTATCGTCAGCAAGTTATTATTGTTGTTTGACAAAAGAGCAAGTCAGTAAATTACAATTTAAAATACTCAATCAGACTTATTGATTACAGGATTACATATTGTTCATGCAATAGCAAAGTTATTCATAAGTTACTATATATTTATTATCTTCTTAATATATTTATTATCTTCTTTTTTATCTTTTAAATGTTCCTTTCTACCTACTACCACCATACTTTCGGAAAGTCTTCCAGTTTCACACAAAAACCAGTAACTAGTCAGGTAGCTATAATTACTCAGAAAATTGAGAGGCCAAACAAGGCAGGACTTAGGGGGCTGGGCGCCGGGGGGCCCTGGGCTTGAAGTTATGTTTGGGCCCTATGCCTATACACTACAAATGCCCTCAACTAGAACATTATTATGGAGTAACATGCTTTGAGGTTCATATATTGTACAATTATATGCAACATGTCTATCCTATTCAAAGTTTAGATGTACATCGATACCTTTGAGAAAACCAGTGGAAGTGTTCTAATTATTTTTAAGTGTTGTGGAAGTTTTAAGATTTTTATTTTTAAGTGTTTTATTTTATTTTAAGTGTTTTGTTTTATTTTAAGTGTTTGATTATTTTTAAGTGTTTTAAGTGTTGTGGAAGTGTATAATTAAATAGTCATTATAATACAATAAACAGGATGTTTTCTCTCAGTTGAGGGATCAAAATCCTGAAATAACACTGAGCAAAAAAAGCTGATTAAATTCTTAAATTTAATCAATAAATTCAAACCAAATAAAAAAAACATGTTGGATATTAACAATCAATCAAAATAAATCACTGTCAACAAAATCCATAGATGGATTTTGCATAAGTTATGTAAAGTTTATATTTTAAAGTAGAAATATTAAATTGCAAAAATGAAATACACAGCGGGGCACAACATCATACTTTTTGACTTTCTTAGTTTGTGTAAATCCACATGGGGTTCAGAGTATAATTTTTTATCCACAGCAATTTTACACTTGTCTAGTACAAATAGGATGCTTTATTTCAGAATTACAGTGTATAAATTTTTCTTTATTTACCCTCAAAAATGGAAGTGAAATGCGACAACATGCCCCATAGGTGGGGTACATTGTAACATCTGAGGGGCCCGTTGTAACATGACAATATGACTGCTTAAAATAAAACTGATGACTGACTAAAATAATATATATTGAGAGAGAGGTGTGAACTGATGATAAGCTCTGATGAGTCCAAGCAAAGGATTATGGGAAATGGAGTCCGGGGTGAATGATAACGTGTACAGGATGGCATGCCCTCTAGTGGAGCTCGTGGTCACTCCAGCTAGAGATCGTGACCACCCCCCAAGGAGCGGCTTACAGAACATACTGACTATGAGAAACTTGGCAAGTATATTTAAACTTATTCTACTAACCCTAACCCTAACCTAACAGTCTACTCTGAGAGTTAGTCAAGTCAAGTCACCTTTATTTATATAGCGCTTTTAACAATACAGATTGTCAAAGCAACTGTACAGCATTAATTAGGAAAATAGCATGTCATTAATGCAAAATAACAATAGTAAACACTTAATTTTCAGTTAAAGGCAGTTCATCATTGAATTCAGTGATGTCATAATCCAGCTCAGTTCAGTTTAAATAGTATCTGCAATCAAGTCGATATCGCTGGAAATTAAGTGTCCCCAACTAAGCAAGCCAGAGGCGACAGCGAAACAAAACACCATCTGTGACAGAATGAAGAAAAAACCTTGGGAGAAACCAGGATCAGTCGGGGGCCGGCAAACAGAGTCCAGGGAGGAGACGATGCAGGGAGGAGCCAGGGAGGAGACAGGAGGGGCTTGGAGCAGGAAGAGCCCAGCTGGACCCAGGCCACAGCCATAATGTCGATCCACGGTGGAGTCGACGGAGGGAGGAGCCATGGAGGAGGAATGGGCACACACCCGGAGCAGTGGGCACTCCTCGAGGGGGAGATGGAGAGCCAAAGGGCCAAGGTGGAACCGAGGACTCTGGCGACCGAGGTGGAGGTGGAGATCCAGAGATCCACGGCGGAGCTGGAGCGACTGAGGTCCAAGGTGGAGCTGGCAGGAGGAAGGAGTCCAATGGAGCCGGTGGGACGGAGTGACGAGGTGCAGCCGGAGGAGCGGAGTCCTGAGGCGATGGCGGGTCGACACCCGACCAAGGCAGAGCCGGAGGGACGAGGGAGCCTGGTGGATCGATGTGTGACGGTAGAGGCGAGGGAGCTAGGAGCCGAGGTGGAGACGCTGGGTCTACGGGCCGAGGCGGAGTCCGGGCCTCGGAGGCTGGAGGGGGTGGTGAGGGATTCTCCAGCCATGGCGGCGCTGGAGGGTGGCAGACCAGCGGCTTTCTCCCTCGTGGCTGGCATTGTCGCCGGCTCTCGCACCTGGTCTGACGGATTCAGCTCTACGTCCGGGGCGATCCTCTGCTCAGTCACTCGGCTTTGCGCTGGCTTGCTGATCGCGGCGGGAAATGGCTCTCCATCAATGGTGGACTCGGGCTTTAACGCTGCACAACGAGGAGATGGTGGGCTGGGCTCTGGGTCCGGAGTGGACACTCTCGCCAGAATCCACTCCACAAACGCTGCAAAATCCTCTCGAGGACCATCTTCAGATGACGGCGCTCTGCACTCGATGTTTATACTGGCGTCGTAGAACACACAGAGGGTCTTCTGTCATGGTACGCTGTTGGAAGGAGTATGAGGGAAACGAGGAGTACAATCAAAAGTCTTTAATCCAAGGAACACATTTATGCGCTGGAGCAAACACATGTACACAACAAGTAGACCCGACAGAGACAGATTGCACAGACTGGGACTTAAATACAGGGGATGATTGGGGAAACAGGTGCATGGGATGACTAATCAAACTAATTAACAAAATGAGGACAGGAACATGACCAAATAAGGGAACAGAAACAGGGGCAAAACATGACACAGACAGTCCATGATCCTGACAATTACATGCTGAGTTTTTAGGTCCTATAATTAACACCTCTTTATTTTCAGAATTTAGCATTAAGAATTTACTCGTCATCCAGTTTTTTATATTGACTATGCATTCCGTTAGTTTTTCAAATTGGTAGGTTTCGCCGGGCCGTAAAGAAATATTGAGCTGAGTATAATCAGCATAACAGTGAAAGCTAACACTGTGTTTCCTGATGATTTCTCATGATAATTAGTAGACATGTAGTTGCAAATTAATGAGAATTAGTTGATAAGTATTTGCAAAGTTACTTAGTTAGTAGAATGTCTAAAGTGGACTATTATGTGTAACCAAACTTTTTACATGCGTATAGTTACTTTTCTGGTTACAAGGTTAATTTTTAAGAAAAGTGAAATACTACCATTATCTGTATTTAAATATGGAACTATTAGTGATATGTTCCCTTTCAATTTTTCACCTACAGTTATTTAATACTTAGGTGTTTTTGTAGATAGGGACTTGAAAAATCTTAATTTGCCTAAACATCTGGAGAAAGTAGGGAATCTGGATGGACCTATTGACACTATTTGGAAGGATTAATGTTATCAAGATGAATCTGACCTAAGTTTTATATATCTTTCAATCTCTCCCAATTCATATCCCACCCCCTTATTTTTCATCTCTCTAAATGGTTTGATCAGACGTTTAATATGGTGTGGCAAACTCCCCAGAATTAGCCTTGACAAATTAGCGGTTTTAATTAGAGGTTTTAAATGACCAACTTTCAAATTGTACTTTTGGGCAGAACATTCCAGATATCTGGCCCAGATGATTGGAAGCGACCCCCTACCTTCACGGCTCAAAATAAAATTATTTGAATTAAAGGAGTATGTTCTCTCGGATATGCTGTATAAATGGGATGAGAAATTCATTAAAATGGTCCCCAACAATCCTATGATAATTTATTCAATCCAAATGTGTGAAAGGTTGCAAAAGACATTTGGACAAAAATACTGTCTTTCCCCTAAGACACCAACATGTGGCAACAGACTGCTTCCAAAATGTTTTAAATACTTTAAAATATGGGCTGATAAAGGTATTATTTGTCTAGAGCAATGCTATGAGGATAGAATATTATTATCTTTTGAACTGCTCAAATCTAGTTATAATTTAAGCAGTAAAAATATTTTTGGCCACTTACAGATATGCGACTTGCTAAGATTTAAAACCCAACTCATTTGGCCGATTTTAACACAGCTGGAGCAATTGGTTTATTCAAGCTG